CCTGCATTCTCGAGCAATATATTTATACTCCTCCCTAGTCATCTGTCCAAGTTTTCACTTCTTGTAAGCTTCTTTTTTGTGTTTAAGCTCACCAAGGATGTCTCTGGTAAGGTGTATTCAATGCGCTGCTTGAATTGTAGGATGCTTGTCAAAAAAGTGCATCTGAGTTGCGGACAAGCCATGGAAAATTGGAGAAAAGTAACACTAGACCTTATCTGCAGAAATGAAGCCTATTATAACTTTTCTGCTCTATTCCACTGTTGGCTGCCTGGGGCTCCCACTGTCAGCTCCACGCATGGCAGGGCTCCTGCTGTCAAAAATGCAGTGGAAGCCTAATATTGCAGAATCTGCCATTTTTCAATATTGCTAGGTAAGTAGGACCTTAGATTCAGTGTAATACAAGTTTCCAGCATTTAAACCCAATGCTTCTTTCTCGAGGAGCAGATCAATTAGGCTACGTCTACACTGGTGGCTTCTTGCACAAGAACAGTTGTTCTTGCGCAAAAACTTGCCGGGTGTCTACACTGCACGTGCATTCTTGCGCAAGTAAATTTACAGTCTAGTTGCTAGGTAAGTAGGACCTTAGATTCAGTGTAATACAAGTTTCCAGCATTTAAACCCAATGCTTCTTTCTCGAGGAGCAGATCAATTAGGCTACGTCTACACTGGTGGCTTCTTGCACAAGAACAGTTGTTCTTGCGCAAAAACTTGCCGGGTGTCTACACTGCACGTGCATTCTTGCGCAAGTAAATTTACAGTCTAGTGTAAAACAGGGCTTCTTCCAGAAGAGTTATTCCATTGGCCATCAAAGCTTTCTTGCGCAAGAGAGCATCCACACTGCCATGGACACTCTTGTGAAAAGCACATCTCCTGCGCAAAAGCACATGGCAGCGTAGACTTACTGCCATAGACGCTCTTGCGCAAAAGCACATAGCAGCGTAGACTCGCTCTTGTGGAAAAATTTTTGCGCAAGAACTCTTCTGCAAAACAGTTTTTGCACAAGAAGCTGACAGTGTAGACGTAGCCTTAGAGTTTATAAATACAGGCAGTCCCCGGGTTATATGGATCCGACTTACATCGGATCCCTACTTACAAACGGGGTGAGGCAACCCCACACTAGCTGCTTCCCCCCAGCAGACCAGGGAGACGCGGAGCGGCTTTTCTCAGCAGACACCTCAGCTTGAGAATAAAGGATTGAGGGAAGTGAGGTGTGGGAGAATAAAACTGAGCCCTGGAGAAATGTTTGGCTAGAGTTTCCCCTACAATATGTACCAGTTCCGACTTACATACAAATTCAACTTAAGAACAAACCTACAGTCCCTATCTTGTACGTAACCCGGGGACTGCCTGTATAGTCAAACAGTACGGGGTTATTAAAGTCCGCCTGACCCCTGGCTTCCTTTGGAGTCAAGATAGTTTATAAACTCTACTTCATAGAATGTAATGTCTGGGACATGAGCTTTTTCATGGACTCATAGGCCTGCAAAGGACCACAAGAGGTCATCTAGTGCAGTCCCCTGCATTCATGGCAGGATTAAATATTATCTATAGGAAAAACAACCAATAGTCTAGCAGCACTTGTTTTTTTTTTTTAAGTTTTTTCCGGTTACAGACTAACTCGGCTACCCCTCTGAAGATTATTATCTAGAATGTAGTCCTTGATTTTTAAGTTTTTTCCGGTTACAGACTAACTCCTCTGAAGATTATTATCTAGGGGGATTTTTAAAATCTGCTAAAGAGCCCAATCCTACTTTGACCCCTTCTTTAGATCTCTGATTCTTCATACAACACACAATCTACCTGTGGAATTATTTGCCAGGGAATATTGTGAAAGCCAAGACTGTAACAAGGTTCATATAAGACAAGTTCATGGAAGATCAGTCCACCAGTGGCTACTAGCCAGGATGGGCAGGGATCTCCTTCTGTTTGTCAGAAGTTGGGGATGGGCAACAGAGGATGGATCACTGGATGGTTGCCTGTTCTGTTCATTTCTTATGAAGTAACCAGTCAGAAGACAGGATACGGAGCTCAACGAAATGTTGGTCTGACTCAATTTTTATGCTCTTTTTATCTTCTTCTCCTACCTGTATCCCGACTTTCCCTATTGTGCTGCCTTCCATTTCTCTCCCCCATCAGAGCTTCCAGATACCAATGCCTGGATAGCCCCGTGCCCAATAGGAAGATACCACTTCAGAGAGATCTATGGGCATAGGAAGGAACTGGCTGGGTCATCGTTGCGAGGCAGATGCACAATTAGCGCTTCACACATTTCTGGCATTGAGTGTGGCAGTTTGGGGGCAGGCTCATTAAGGTCCCTGTAGTTCAGCTCTGACTCTGTGTGGACAAGTAGTCAAGGCACAAAAAGACTCAGTTCCACAAAAGACCGTGTGGGCTGGAAGAAGCTGAGCCATGGCAGCAGAAAGCTGGCTGTTTCCCCCTAACTGTGAAGTAATTTGCAGCAGGGTTCTTTTAGGTACATACTTAAACTGAGTGGCTGGTTAACTAGTTAGGGGACTAGCTAACTGAGTGATTTCAACAGAGGAAGAGTCTGCCTGCATGGAGGTTACTACAAGCACGAGGAAAGAAGATATCGTTGCAGTGCTTTAGACTTGGCAGGCTGTATAGATTTTGGTGACCAAAGACTGCAACTGAGAGTGCACTCCTTAGCTTTTGGGAACTGAGAGTGAGTTCTCATTGAGTCTCTCACTTATTTAGATTGAATGTATGTACGACTACGGAGACAATGCATGTGGATTATAAAGTAATCCTGTTCTGTTGTAAAAATTAAGTGACTATGTTGCGGTACTAAAGGAATTAATTCAGATTTTAAAAAATGTGCTTGTGGGGAGATTGTCCCTATGCAATCTTTGCTGAAAATCGTCAGTGACTGAATTCTGGGTCTCCGTGTGCTTTGCTGGGGGCGTTGGTGTTTTTTAGGTTCTAGGGGAAAGGCTGGGAAGCAAACACTACCAAAAGTTACACCTGCACATGTTGTAATCTCTGTGTGGGGGATTACAGTGCCTCTGGATTTACAGATGGAGATTAAATGTCCATGACTGGGAACGTGAGCTAACTCACCACTGATTTTATTATGGTGAGGGATAGAAGGCAAAAATCTGGCTACAGCGGAAACACTCTTAAAACTTTAACTATGGATTTGATTCTACACCTGAGTAATCTATTCAGTGGAGTGTTTAGACTCCAGGATGCAAAGCATGTCACTGGGCAATTGTAAGATGACATGCAGGAATACATGGGTCTGAAGCAGTTTTTTCCTTTCTCAAAGACTCAGGCACCCTGCCCACTGAGCACTCAATAGAGCATCCCAGCTCTGGGTGTGAGGCTGGAGTACTTGAACAAGCTGAATTAAGCAGTTGTTCTGTTGCCGTGCACCACATCACCTCGTACAGCCTGGCAGCAGACGAACTCCACTAAATAGCCCTGCCAACCAGAGCGAAGCACGGCCTTTAAAGGGGGCGCACCTTGTTACCGTAGGGGACTCCACGCTACCACTCGTCTTCAAGCCACTTGTCAGTAGAGCTGGTTGAGAATTTTTTAAACGCACATGTGTGTGGTGGAAAACTCTCATTTGTAGAGGTGTATTAGTTTAGACACAACTTTCTCAGGTTGGGAGGTGAGAGAGGACCTACAATACCCACAGCCTGGCAATTAGGGCACTCACTTGGGATGTGGAAGCGCCAGGTTTAAACTCCTGCTCCAAATCAGTCCCGGGGTCTATTGGCTATTCTGGGCTATTGGCCTCGCTCAGGTCTGTTTGGATCTGAATTAAAACAGATTCCAAAATGAATCTTTTCTTTTCTTTTTCTTTTCTTTTCATGAAATGCAAATGTGGTTCTGCAGCCAGACCTCCTTGCAAGCCACAAAATGCAGTAAAGGCTAACAAGCTCGGATTGAGTGAAGGAAAGTTACAGTGGCCCGATCTGGTCTGAAAGCTAGCATGACACTGAAAAATGTTTTCCTGCTAGAATCATCGTGCTCCTACCGCAACAGTGAAGGTTGGCCTAAGTCTGGGAGGGAGAAGGTACCGCTAGTTTTTCAGGAACTGTTTTGGTTGTAAAGAAAACCTGCTGCTTTGACATAAAATCCAAATGTTCAGGTTTGTCAAAAAGTAACAGGAGAGGTAAAATAATGATGGGGTCTAGCTATTAGCAACACATAAAACAAGCATTTAGCAATGCCAAGTTTCTGGTTATATGGGGACTGTAAAACCTTGAACCAGCAAATGGAAATTTTGATTGAAAATTGATTTCAGCACTCACCATATAAGCCACTGCAATTTCATTAGAGGATAGCCCAGAACTGGATGTTCTACTAATAAAAAGTAAACAGATATACCAGTGTTGTACGGTCTGCCTACATTTTTATTCTTGGCTCACCGTTACTGTAGTATCTGCCTGCTAAGAGTTATGGGCTTAGATAGCTCAGGAACAAATAAGTCCATAACTGCAACAGTACCAGAAACAGAACTTGTTAGTACTGTACTGATGGGAAACTTAAAGTAGGATTTTTTTTTTTTTTTTTTTGAGAACTGCTCTCCCGGGACACTGATCTCTTAGTGCTCCGATGGAGTCAGTTCAAGATGGTTTTGTACGTATATTACTAATTGATTGCCACAACTGTAATTATAAACATGCAGGGGATTAGAAACAGCATGGGGAAGTAGATCTAAACTTCTTCAAAAATTCACTGAGGGTGTGTTGCATGAGTGATGAAACATCTTCTATTCTATAACATTTCTAATCAGAGCCCTAAGCTCACATGTATTTTAACAGCATCAAATACGAACCTCTCATGTATAAAACATACTTGCATCATGCTTTGCAAACAAACACTACCTGTGTCCACATCACATAAAATCCTCTTTGACTTGCTTTCAGCACCTTTACAGAGAGATGATCTACTTTCCCCCCATTGCAAACCCTTCACCCAAGAAGTTAATTCTCCTCCAGTCTGTGCCTTGCCAGCTTGGAATCACTTACCTGAAAAGTCTTGCTCCTGCAGCACTAAAATAAAAGCCAGAGCCCAAACGAAAAGCATGGTTTTAAACCTTCCGACCTCTGGGGATGGCTCTCCTAATCAGAGGAGAGGAGCAATTCAGAGTCTCTCCTTGGTTTGCATAGACGCCCCAGCCCAGACTTTTGTGCTGAGGTTTAGCCAGAGAGCTGGGAGGAAATACTCCAAGGCTGAGCCAAGATTCTTAAGCTGATCTCTTTCCTTCCTCTTTTTAAAAACACCCTTCAAACTCCACAAAGGGTCCAGTTACCCAGGCAAGCTGGCTGCAAGCCAAGCTTCCCCCACTTTTTACTCTTGTATTTATTTATACTGAGCTTGAATGGAATGTGCTGAGGCACTTCCAATCCTGATGATAGGTGAATGGGGCAAGAAAAGGAGGGATTTGTAAGTAAGTTTCTGCCTGGGAGCATGAGGCAGAAATGGGGGTGTGGATGTGTATTACTCCTTTAGGAGTCTATCTAGGGCAGGGATGTTGATGGTTGATGTCTCTAGGTTTTTTCATCCGTAGATTTCAAAGGAGTTTAAAAAGGAGATTTGTATTATTACCCCATTTTATAGAAGGAGAAACTGAGGCATAGGGGTCAAATGACTTGCCCAAAGTCACCCTGTAGGCTGGTGGCAGAATCAGGAATAGACCCCAGACTTTCTGAGTTCCAGCTCCAGTGCTCTTCTCAGTAAGCAACGCTGCCTCTACTAGTTGTTCTTCCTGCCTAATGTCTAAAAAAGTACAGTTGGACCTAATTGGGGGCTCACGGCATTACATTCACAAGTTTTGCAGCCATCTTAAATTCCTAACCTGGATCATGATATTTGCCTCTGATACTGTAGTGCATGAAAATTTCCATGCCAAAGAAAACTTGAAGACTTAGCTAACTTTTAATAGGATTGCAACTATCTGTTACCGCTCATATTTTTGACTAATGGGGCTAGCTTGTATTTGTTGGGGGCAGTGGTTAGTGTATAGGACTACAGTTTGGGTTCGGCTGGGCTTTAATCTGGATTCTGCCCCAGAATTCCTGTGTAACTTTGAGTACAACACATTTAACCCTCTCCACCTCTCAGATTCCAGCTGGAACTGGATACTCCTCCCAGGACTCTCAGAGTTACTTAATGCCCAGCTGGAACTGGATACTCCTCCCAGGACTCTTGGAGTTACTTACTGCTTTGTAAAGTGGTTGAAGATTCTTGGATAAAGTAAAGCATTATTCTTTGATGAGGGAAAATTAACACACACAGGAAAAATTTACAAAAGTCGTTTCAGCAGAGTGGCTGTGATTAAATGACATCTGTTCTAGGTGGGGCCCTCTGGAAATCCTGTTGCCCGACTGAGCCGGCAGAGTTAGTATTTTGCTTGGATGCTTCTGAGGATGACCTCTGTGAATCTTTTGACCTGCACAAAAATGTTAACAGAGGCCTACTGTGGATCCAAATCCCTAGTGCCCCCTTTGAAGTGTGGGTGAACAAAAGCAGCAGGATGTCCTACACAGTCAGAAATGTCTGACTTGGTCCTACTCTGAAGTGGACCAAAAGATTAGGTCAGCTGCTCTGTCAGACAGAGTTTGCACAAGGCAGGTTTCATGGCAGTGTGTTCTCCCTGTCCTGTGTCCTTCCCAGAAGGAGATCACCTAGGAGTACTTGTTTTGCCTGGAATGCTTGCTTTAAGGTGATTCCTAAATACCAGCACTAGTCAAAAAAATTTCTAGGAGAAAATGTTTCCCATCAGAAAATGCTGATTTGATGGAATTAAAATCTCCCATGGGAATGGGGTGACCCCATCACCTGTCCCATCAGAAAATGCTGATTTGATGGAATTGAAATCTCCCATGGGAATGTGGTGACCCCATCACGTTTCTCTTTGGAAACCAGGTAGGCAGGCTGGCTGACTGGTCAGCCTGCTGCCTCCTTCCTGCCAGTGGGTACATGGCTAGCAAGAAATCAGACTGCCCACTTACCAGGTGAGCAGGCTCCCTGGCTGCCTGGTTTTCCCCAATCATCTCTGATTTTTTTTTTATAACAATTCCATTCTGATTCCCTTGAAATGGAATTCTTTTTCATAAACTCCCGTTTGGAAACATTTGTATCTTTTCCAAAATTATGACATTTTCCTTGGAATGGAAACTCCAGTTCCCACTCAGGTATGATAAACACCTTTCTCTGTTCCCAGAAGCTTGGTGTGTCTCTTGAACGTGCCCAGTTCTCTTGGAGAGGTGCTGGTGGCCGTGAGAATGGGACTTGGATGGTTGCTCTGAGAATAGTGTATTAGTGGTCGGGTTTTTGTACATGTGCTTCACCAGTGAACGTAATTCCATTTTCCAGTAAGTTAGTTATGCTGGGGCAGGAGAGCACGTCTCTGGAGACTTTACAGTGGAATGACTGGTCTGGCATGACAGCTTTGTGCTTAGGATAGAATTATGCTCAGAATTTCCTAAATGAGGATTTCACAAGCTCTTCTACATGTGGGAGAGATCAGTTTTGCAGAACTGAAAAAACCACAGGTAATAAAATGGTAAATAAACCCTGGCACCCATTTCCATGTCAAAACACTCTGCAGCTCTGACTAGTCCTAACGAAGAAGTGAGGAACCTCAGGTCATCAGAGGGAGTAGAAAAACACCACTAACAAATTAGGCAAACATTGATGAGAGACTAGGATGTTCTACAACCTATGCTTCTATAGCGTTACTATTGTAACACTCAGTGTGCTAGCTGCTGAAGGAGTGCATTTTGATGCACGCTGCCCCTATATGTATTTTAAGAATGTCACATTTAAGTAAAAACTCCTGGTTTTTAGAGACTTGACTTGTGACCAAAAAAAAAAAAGTAAGTCTGTGACACTGTAGAGACTAACAAATATATAGGATCATGAGTTTTTGTGGGTAATACCCACTTCATCAGATGAGTTGGAGTGGAAAGTACAGAATCCAGGGTCTATAGAACAGCAAAAGCAGTTACCTGTCAATTGTAGGACCCATGTAGATGAATCTAATTCAATAGACTGGATGTGTCCGATTCATAACTTTTGATGTGAAAATGTTAATGTCAAAGGCAGGGAAATTGCCTTCGTAATGCGTTAATCCCTGGTCTTGAATAAAGATATTAACTGGTTAATGGTTTTCCATGGAAGAAATTGCTGTATGCACAGATGTTCACTGCAATGTAGCCATTCATTCATACAGTCATGGTGGATGGGATAGGGCAATGAAGTGGCTAATGGAGAGCGATGATGCACAATACAACCTATTCAGTAAGGTCTGGTCTGCAATAGAAATATTTAAGTACCTGTAGCAGGGCAGTTGCCCCACTCCAGGCATAACAAGGGTTAAAACAACCCTGGGAGAGGGCTGTAGCTACAGGCCAATAACAAGAGGCCTTTTGGCAGCCAATCAGAGCCCAGTAGGGCTGTATAAAAGAGATGGCTGGCTAGGCTGAGCACTCTCACTCCAGCCCTGGAAGGAGAAGGACCTAGCTGCCTGCTAGCCAGGGTACCACAGACAGAGCAGTGCTGGGGAAAGGCAAGGTGAGCCTGGGGAGCCCTGGCCTGAGCATTCCCAGGCTAAGGCCCAGCAATAAGGACTTGAGGGGTATTAGGGCTGCAGAGAGGCAGCCAGGGCAAGCAAAGGCAGTAGGTCTCCACCCCCTTGTCTCTGATGAGTGGCCATGTCAGACTGCAGTTGGCCCCCAAGGCAGGTGTGACCCCAGCGCTCCAGTGTTGAGCAGAGTTAATTCCCAGAGTGACCAGCAGGGGGCGCTGTGCTGAAGAGTCGCATGGAGGTATAGTACCCTTAAATCATGTCTGGTAAATCCTATAATTTGGTCCTATTATGATTTGTTTTCCTTCCACTATTGAAACAGAATGGATGGTGGAACTTCCCAGTAAGGCTTATTGGATATAATCTAGCTTCAAACAGACACTCAAGAGACAACTCCACTAAAATGTCCCTATAGATTGATTTTTGGTAGGTGCCAGCTGAGCAGGAGTTACCTTTCCTCAGACTGTCAAATCTCAAGGGCCAGGTGCTCTATCTTGGTGAGTAAGGAACTGTTTCTTTTTTAAAAGGTCGTTAGCCAGGATCAGCAGGACTTTGTTGATTGAAAACACCTGCAAGTGACACAGGTTTTCTTATGTTCTAATTAACGCATTCCTAGTAACGTGAAAATCAAGTTGTTTGACAATAAGACTAGTTGAAGTCATCTTTGAATCCCATGATATCATTTATAAATCTTTAATCAGCTTCCATATCAAGCTTGGTCAGTTTACATAGAAATGGAAGGGACCCTAAGGAGGTCATAGAATCTTGTCCCCGGCCCTCATGGCGGGACCAAGCACTGTCCAGATCGTACCTGACAGGTGTCTGTCTAACCTGCTCTTAAATATCTCCAGAGATGGAGATTCCACAACCCTCCTAGGCAATTTATTTGTGTTTCACCACCCTGACTGTTAAGAAGTTTTTCCTAATGTCCAACTTAAACCTCCCTTGCTGCAATGTAAGCCCATTGCTTCTTGTCCTATCCTCAGAGGCCAAGGAGAAGAATTTCTCTACCTCCTCCTTGTAACACCCTTTTAGTTACTTGTAAGCCACTGTCATGTCCCCTCTCAGTCTTCTCTTTTCTAAACTAAACAAACCCAGTTCTTTCATAGCTCATGTTTTCTACACCTTTAGTCATTTTTGTTGCTCTTCATTGGACCTTCTCCAATTTCTCCACATCTTTCTTGAAATGTGGTGCCCAGAACTGGACACAATATTCCAACTGAGGCCTAATCAGCGCAGAGTAGAGCAGAAGAATAACTTCTCGTGTCTTCAGGTCCAACAGCACCAACAGGAGCAACAGTCCAAAATCATTCAAAAAAATCCCTGACAGCTTCACTGGGATGGATAAAATCCATGCGTATCCCTTCTGCCTCTTACCTCGTCCTCACGAATCAAGACTCTGCAGTTGGAATTCAGTTATGTTTTCCCTGTTGCATGAGGCAGAATCAAATCCAGCTGCTTCGTTTTATGGCAATACTTACCTTTCAGGGCTAGTAGTAGTAAATGCTTGTCTGTGTCAATACAAAGATCTGACCCTAACGGCGTGTCTATATGGCTCAGAGCAAACTGTGGTGTATATCTACTCCATGCTCCCCTGCAGCACTCCAGGGAAATCTGTGTGGATCCTGCTGCTATGTGCTAGAAATTCCCCAGTCCACTTTAATCAACCCCACTTGGAGGTTGCTGCTGGGTGGTGCTGGTTTACGTAATCTTGCACGTGCTCTTCCTTATCATGCATACAAATTTGTACTCTTTGAAGAAATGCTGCTTTT